CACCTAAACAGAAGCAACTGAAAAGGCCCGAATGCCAAACGAAAACACACCAATGAAGGAAAAAACACATCCAGGCACGCGTTGTCATGCATGCAGTATGAACAGGACAAATGGGGAGATTATAAAGTACAACAGCAACAAATGCACATGTAAAAATCAAATAAATCTGTGAAGCATGAAAAAAAATACATGATTTCATAATTTAAGAAAAAAAAAGAAAGAGAAAATGGAAGGAATTGGGTCCGTATGTTTTGAAAACCTCGACAGCTGCGGCGCTGCTCTTAGCAACAATCTTCCGCTTCCTACCCATTCTTCTTCGTTTTCAACTTTTCTGCAAATGGTAAAAAATAATGGAAGCAAAATAGAAAAACCCTCAAGCAGTAAGGTAGAAAAAACTCAAAAAAGCAAGATCAAGTTTGAGAAAAAGGGGGGCGGGGGTTTTTATGAGATGAAATAGTACACGAACATCACACACAGTCACACACGATAAATTACGTGGGTTAATGCGATTGATCAATGAGAATCCGACGGCGGATATTTAGTGAGTAGATGGATCACAGCCGTCAATTCAGTCATTCAGTCAGTCAATACATCTTGACACGTCTTCTCAAATTCAATTGGGTACAGACAGCCATATACGTCTAAAATATGGACGTACATATATATAATCAATTATAAAAAAAGAAAAGGAAAGAGTTTTTTATATTAATTATAAAAATATTTTATTTTATAAATCTATATATTACATTTTTAAAAAATATTTTTTATATTGGAGTAAGAAAAATATATATTCTTACATCTTAACTATTTTTTTTTTATGAATACGGTTTCTTAAACCTTTGTTCTCATTTTATAATGACATTTGATTTGTTCAATTTTTATATTTTATTCTTAATTTTCTTTATATTAATTTTTCTTAGGGTAATAATATTGTATATTACAATATTCTTTCTAATAGTTTTAATATTGGTAGATTAATTATTTAATCTACAAAACAATTAGTTAGAATCAAAATATCACATAATATCTAGCCTAGCCGAACTCTTGATACTTAAGCTCAGCCTCGAAATCTCGCCCCGTCAAATTAACGAGCCGATACATGATAAAAGATCAAAGTAAAAATTCATATCTATCGACTATAACGATCGTTAAACAATCTCAAGTCTTCACGAGCCGAGTTCAAAAGCGATATGTTTTACTAATTATTATAACCAACATGGACTTAACCATTACTACCAACTATTAATTATCAGATAATCTATCAAACACATAGTTTTGGGCCAACCGGCCTATAAAGTCCAATATTCATAACAACTATTGATAATCTAATCTATCACACATAATTTTGGGCCAACCGGCCTATAAAGTCCCTATTTGCTATGCTATAGGGAGCATGTGTGAATTAGCGTAGTACACTACATTGAGCAATTTTTGAGAGAACCACCATTATTGGTACAATTTGAATAATATGAGAATTTCCATACAGATAACAAAAACAAAAAGAGTAAGAATTTATTTTCTTGGTTGTATTTCCTTTTATTGTTATATGTGGTTGAGGAAAAACTAAAACCTACAGTGATTCACATGCAATAGAGTTAATTAAAGATTCCCATCACACTTTTTTTCTGCACCTATAAATGCCGTGCCTTTCTCCATTCATTTCTCATAATTGTCTCACTTCAAAATTTGTTGTTTGGTTACAAATTTGCAGCTCTTTTATCATTTTCATCATCATTTCCAATCTTATATTGGTGGAAAAATCGAAAATTTTGAATATCTTATGTTGCTCTTATATATCTAAACTCTAAAGAATGCCAAAGTTGCCTTGCTTTTTCCCCTGTTTTTACATAGATTGCTCTCCTTATCTTTAAAACACAACTTCGCCTTTTTTTTTTTTTTTCCTCTTTTCACTTCACTTTCTCTTGAAAATTCTATATTATACCAAAATCTACAAAGCCAACAAAAAATGACATTCAATAGAAGTGCATGCCAAGGGCTACCATCTTGTTTGGAGCCCCTTATCCTGGAAAAATATGTTCTAATGCATCAATTGATCACATCCAAACAAGAAAACCACTTTGAAAAAATTCAACGTGTCGGTAAAAGTAGAAGCTTTCCGGTTATACGCGAAAATGCTGAAGAATTGAATAAATGGAACACTGTACAAGATACTTCAAATGATTCTCATCATAGCGATAAACCAATGAGGAATAAAGGGGAGCAAGTTTACGTGCATCCTCTCGACAAGAGCTCGACTTTTTTTCCACTAGGCTCTAAAAGCCTTGAAATGTGTACCGAGAGCTTAGGAAGCGAAACGGGAAGCAATTTGTATTCAAACGAGAGTTTTGTCACGAATAAGCCGTCAAGAAAAACGCGAGAATCGTGCAAGAAGACCGATTTTCCACCTCCATTGACTATTATAAATGGGAATGATAATAAATGTGTGAAAATGGTGAGTCATCATGAGGGCGGCAGGCTGGTGATCAAGGCCTTCGTATTTTCTTCGAAGTGGAGTCGTTTTAAAACCAAGCGCGAAAATGGGAGGCTTAGGCTTTGTTTGGTGAATGAGAATGAAGAAGTTGAAGTTGAGAAAGATTGTTGTTTATGGAGATGCAATGGAAGTGAATGTGGGAGTAAGAGATTTGCTAGTTTGCCATTTTGTGTGGCTATCTCTTGAAAGCTCTCTTTAATTCATTCTTTTTTTTTTTTTTNAGTTATCTTTTAGTGTTGTACTTAAGATATTTGTCCAAATAACAGAGTGTATGAAAATAATTATTGGAATCAATGACTTATAATTTTAGTTTTTCTACCTCATATAGATATATTTCAATTTACAGCTTGTAACTTTAGATTATTAATTAATATGTAGAACCACAAAACAGAAACCGCCACATACACAAGACATTCAAAATCAAGAAATTCTACATGTACAAATAGATCGAGGTTTATGTTTTTTAATTAATTGGTGGAGCTGCTGTGAGACAGATGTAATCGTTAAACAAAACATATTCTTAACATATATGCGTATTTTCATGTCCTATATCATACTTCATCAAAAAAATACTATAAACAAAAAAATGACATTAAACTCTATAAATATACATTTTTATTGAAAAATATCTAAAAACGTCATTTTGTCCGTCATCACAACAAATTTTTAAATGATCTTTTACTATGTCTTTAATTTCTTCAAGAGGTTGACTACATAAACGTTAAATCTCACATATTAAATTCTCTTTATATAAATCTCGAATATGCTGAGTTTAAGTGGCAAGCTCTCATGCTTCGAGATCTTATGTGGCAAAATTTCATGATTCATTATTTCGTTTGGATAGATTTTAATTTAGTTCCAATCCAAAAATAATTAGGCCCAGATTATCCATATATATGACAGTTATTTATAGTCATTTTAGATGTATTAATTACATTTTAATATCATTTCCTGTTATAAGAATTGAATTGTAAATGTATTTTAAAAGTTGATAACTTTTGTATTTCTTATCGGTTTTATATATATAATATATCAAATTAATCATATTTTGATAAGCTTCGATTTAACATCTATATTGTATGTATAAAATAAATAAATTATATTTATCTTTATAATAATAATAAAATTACTTATTAATTGTAATTAGAAAAATAAAATTATTTTTTAATTAATTTATTTATGTTTAAATTAGTTATATGGTATAAGTTAGAAAAATTATTATATTATAACACATGTAAATTGCACAAATAACAAGTATCATTCTAAAATATATAATAATATATATTTTTATATTTTCTCATTAATTTTAAAACTTAAGAATAATTTTTTTAACAAACAGTCGTGGTATTATATTAATAAGTTCTTAAGAGAAGATTATTCAAAAGAGCCTCTATTGTTCGATTCCACGAGAAACACTTTGTAACATTTTACCGATTGTAAAGTTGGCGTTACAAATTATCCATAAGGATAAAACTAAATGTCTCAATCCCACAAATGATTATTTGGAATACCTTACATTATATGGACGACATTTTTGTGTGTGTCTTAAGGAAGACCACATTTGCCAAAAAGAACACGATGCCTTAGAGCAAAGTGCTTGGTTTTGCCTCATCTTGCCAAATTGAAAGTCCAACCATCATATCTAGGTCTAGGTGGTGTGGCCTTCAATTCTTTCATTCTCATACGTGTTTTTAGTACATTCGTTTTTCTCCACAACAATTTATTAATGTTTCAAATAAATAAAAGATAATTGCATATTTCCAAAAGTTTTGGGATAGTAACCATTCATATATATACAAGTCCAATGTGATGTGTGTCATCAATCGAATCCCTTTTGCATTGTTAGTATCTGCTGCAAATTGTATTCACCACTAACTAATCATCATTCTTGTTCTGATATTATCCACTTGCCTAAATCAATCATCTTCTAATTTTGGTTTATTCATACACAACTCAACTCATGAGGAATCACACATTCCAAGCCAAATTTCGATTTCCATTAAGCAAATCCTCAATAAAGGGACAAAAACTAATAATAGCACAGACATTCGAAATATATTATTAGTCTCTCTTGAGTACATATGTTTACACGACAAAGACTACAAAAGTTATGATGAATGGAGACATATCTAACGGCCTCGGCCACGTCCACGCCCACGACCACGGCCTCGACCACGCCCCAAGGCTTTCCCTGAATAAACGGATAATAAAAACACGTGATACTGAAATCGTGTCGAAACTTTGGCAAAAAGTTTTAAAGAATATCCAAAGTTTTATTCTTATTTACGAATAATTCTACTTGTCATTCAAAATTATGAATGTATATCCTTGAGGTCCCTTGAATTTTGAAATTGCCCAACAGTACCCCCCTCTCGGGTGGTGCTATTTACAAAAGGGAAAGAATGTCGAGGGGCGAATTTGTGATTTGGAGTAAAGATAATTTGGTTTTTGGATAATTGCAAAACGCCTGCTAGGCTGCTACCCTTTCAGTACTTATAAATTTATAATAACTACCAAAAAAAGGGCAAATTGATATCCAATTTTGTGTTCATGTAAGAGGTAGGTATAATATAAAACATTGTAGAAAATAGAAATAGCACTTTCCATTCTCCTTTTTATAATTTTAACATGGGGGGTGTTCATCAGGAGTTTGATTGTACTCGGCCAAACCTCAATTATTATTATTATTTTATTATTATTATTATTATTATTATTGAAAGTTTAAACACCAGGGATAGTTAGTGCAAGTCAATCTAGAGTGCTTATAGCAATTATTAGCTTACCAGTAGTTGGTTTCTTGGGCTTGACCCTTGGAGTCTCTTCCACCAGCAATGTCTCGAGATTCAAGCTGTCAGGAAGAATATAATAGCGTATATTGTTACCCCTTACACTCAGGTGATCCATCGTGACTGGGTTCTTTCCCTTAAGAGTAAGCTTTACAGTCTTTAGATGTGTGTTCATGCTGACATCAACACCTAAAGAAAGATAAGAGTCTGATCAAGTTTCATACTTTAAACCTGTAACCATAATAGAAGTTTCCCACGAAATTTTGCATCATGGAAGTAGCTTTATTTTAGAGGGGAACTATTCTTGCTTGCAACCATCACGGTGTCAAGAGCAATTTCCACCAGATATTACATAAAGAGAATATATCAATCTCAAATGGAGAGAAATAATACAATATAGGACTTCTGATTCTAGGCCTTTGGTGGCCGTGAGAAAAAAGGCAAATGCATCTTCTTCTGTTTATAGGACTTCTCTCTCTCTCTCTCTCTCTCTCTCTCTATCTCTCTGTTCTAAAGTTTTTGCCTATGAATAGAATGGCAAATGGTTAAGGTGAAAGTATGAGAAGTCCCACGAATTAAAACCCTTGGTAGCTCATTGATTTATTCTGGTGAGAGTTCATATATGTAAAACTTGTTGTGGTAATTGTTTGAATGATTCAGGAATGAATGATGGTGGATCTTCTCTCTATTCTGGACATGAGTGAAAACTAATTTAGAAGTTAGAAATTTTCAATGGAATCAAAACTGGAAACAAACAAAACCAGCACATGGATGGATGGCAGGAAGGCATCCTTCTAATCTACTCAGAAGTTATAATCTTCAGCTAGCATGTCACCATTATAAGAATTACCCAATCACCAAAAGAAACTTGTGACAAACAATATTCACAATACGGTGTGCTCACATTTAAGCCATGTGTCACATTTGACAAAAACTCTTAAGACTAATTCTATGACTCTTAGTCACTGTACAAGCCCCAAAACATAGCTTCTCAACAAAAAATCAACACCGTATGGGATTTCGAGTTGCATTAGCATCAAATTAACTGCCTATTGTCCAATGCTCCATTACATGCTAGACTGGTAATGTATGAACACTAAACAATTGTATGAGCCCACTGCTTATGAGTTATGAGGGGGAAAAAAACGAAATCCAAAACTGCATAAGGAAAAAACACAGAAAAAATAAGGATTGTCTGATAAAGAAGAACCTGTAATGGTGCCATGAACTACTGTGCCATTCTTCAGCTCAATAGACACAGTCTCATTGTTCAATTTCATCAAAAACCTGCGTAAGTTAAACATAGCATAAAAGGAAAACTCATGAGCTTCAACTGAAATTCACCACTGATAAAGATAAAACATCAAAATGGACAAAATAAAAATATGAAATACAAACCTGACTAGCTTCATTCTTGCAACGGGGAAGACGACGGAGCTAGGGTTTAGTAACTGCAGCAAAGGAAGCCGCTGCGAGACGCTCTGAGTCTGAGAGGAGAGGGTTTTAGAGCGATGGTAACTCTTTGGTAGATATTGACGAAGGAACAACGTCGTGTGTTGGACCGATGAAGGAAAATGTTTGGGCCATCATGGACTAATGGGCTGACACTCATTGTAGTAGGTCCATCAACAAATTATTTTGAAAAAAATCTAAAAAATTAAAAGTATAGTTTTGTTTTCATATTAAACTAGTGAATGGCCCGTGCGATGCATGGGAAAATAATATTACGATTGTATTATAATTAAATATATAAATAACATTAATCATGATTTATCCATTCTTTTTAAATTAAACCGGGTTGGACACAGTCCGACCGGATCTACCGAGAACCGGTTTATAACCAGTCTAGTTCGCTCGAATAAAATATTTGCTCTCGAATTTGTCAATACCAGTCGGTTGGACTGGTAGGATCGATATGATTTTCTAAATAAATTTTGTTATATTTAAAATTATTTTAAATAAAATTAAATATTTAAATAAAATAGAGATTTATAAATTATTTATCAATTAGTTTAAACATATACACTTAATAAATCTTAGCCGGATTTTTTAAATAATAAAATAAACTAAAACCCGAAATTTAAGGTAGAATTTAATGTTGTATGATTTTTAAAGAAAAAAAAAGAATAAAAATAATAAAACTTACTATTTATAAGCTGCATTAAATTATGACCTATTTCTTTGCTACTAGTTTTTGTAAATGGTAATTCTTATTATATATATATATATATAGATCTAAAAAAATTGTGCATTATTATCTTTTTAAAATGATAGTAGTTATTCGTAAAACTAATTCTTCTTGTATTGTAATAGATTTTGTCTTGTTGGATAAGTTATTACTTAGGAATATAGATTAGAAGCCTTATTTAAAAGACTCCTCATCTATTGTTTTGTGCAGTTGATTATGATTAAGAGAATGATATCGTGTTTAGGTGTTTTTGAGATTGCAATCTCATTAATGTCTTCCTACTCGTATGCTTTCATACATCAATTGTTGAGTTTTAAATTGTTATTTATAAAAATTGATAACAAATACGAATATTGTTGGGTTTTTAATGATATTATAGTTTATGCTGATCAAATAATCGATAATTTTAAAAATTTTAATTGCATATGGAAATGCAATCTATATATAATTATAGGCAAAAAAAATTATGAAAAAAATTAAAAAAATGAATTATATATCATATAATACTTACTATTAAACTTAACTAATTAATATTTCACACTAATCGGTGTACCGAAGTTACATAAATATAAAAGATTATATTTTAATTTTTGTAAAGTTATTTATTATAAATCAATATTATATTTTTTTCATCTCATCAAGCAATTATTTTTTAAACAAAATAATTAATTTTAGTGATATAATTAAACCCCTTAAAATTGCATAAAAAATTATTATAATAATAATTTTAATATATTTTTACTAATTAATAAAATTTACATTATTCAATCACACATCTGCATAACAAATACATAAACCAACTACACACCACACATATCACTCTTATATATAATTTTCAGACAATCGAGTCTAAATAGCAGGCTGACATGCTTCGTAATCTTATTTAACACATTTATATGCTTTGAACTGACCATAATCAGGCTCGGTTGCCAACTAGGAATTGTATTTACCATAATATATTGTAAAAGATGTTATATTTCTTTTCTTTTTTACCAATCAATCCTATAAACATGCATGCCAATTTCAATTTGCTTAATTTTTTTAGGAGTTTCTAGTGATCTTTAGCATTAACATATTGATTATTGCAAAATTGTGTTATATATTAAGTGTAGTTAGGTAATTATTAGCATGATATATCTCTTATTTTTATTTAATTTACAGTGCATTTATTTTCTATAAATATTCAACGAGTTTAAAGTTGTCACTTAAAATTAGTATTTTAAATATCAAGCTAGACAACACTCGTGCATCACATGATTTTTACGAAAGCGACCCTTCTAGGCGCTCATTGTGTGACGACAATGATCCTTGGACCCGGAGTGATGTTTGGAATTCATGATGCACTTGTCCAGGCCATTCGTAAACTAGTCCACAAAGATTGGCACGTGAAAATCCAACACGTGCATAGGGAGGCTAATTATGCGGCCGACTATATGGCGAACTTGGCGTCGTCCTCCCAATTGGTATGCAGCGTATCCACTCGCCTCCTGCGGGACTGAGTACATGGCTCGACCATGATATCATCGGGGTATCCCACCCCCGACGAGTCTTAGCTTAATCAATCNCCATTTATTCTAAAACGTATTCAATAAAAATACATCACGACAATATATAACATCTCTCTCTACACACTGGACGTGAAATTGAAATTTGCGCACGTGGTGCGCCTCCCCAGCAGCGTGGAGCTGAACCCCATCCTCGACCTCGCCAAATCAAATTGCACCAAATTATCCTCCAACTGATACCCGCCGATAACCACCGCCGTCCTCGGCCCCGACCCGCCATCCACAAACCCGAGACACATAACCCGCTCGTTTACCTGTACCATCGAGTTCGAACCCGTTATCGTCCACACCGGCCCGTCACTCCCCGCCAGCACCAGCTCGATGTACGGCACCGCGGGCCCCACCCTCGTGCTCCCCACATTCTCACTCCCGAAGCAAAACCCGAACCGCCCCATACTCGCCACCCGGGTTATGTTCCGGGCCGCGGCCGCCCGTGCGTAGGCCGCGGTCAAGGCCCGGTAGATGGAGCTCTCGAGTACCGTGTACGGGTCGACCGTGCTAATCTTTGTCCCCCCATTTCCTTCACCGTCGATCGCGAGGAGGGTTCGGTTAATCGGGATTGGCGACCCGTCTACCCGAATTTCGTCCACGCGGATGAAGTACTCGGTCGAAGGCTCCCCTTGCACGTAGGCCGAGGCGGTGCTCACCGGGTTAATGAACAACGGCGTGTAGCGTAGCGCGGCCGACGCATCGATTCCTGGGAGGAACCGATACGGGCCGGGCCCGAAGAAAACCGCTCCGCGCGATCTGGAGAGGCAGATGGCGAACGTGCGGCGGAAGCTGAACGCGGCGGCGAGTTGGGACGGGAGCCCGATCCGGGCCCGGCCCAGGCCCGCCAGGCCCATCGCGCCGCGGGCGAGGCCCGCGAGGAGGAATGTTGGGGCACACGAGAATATGAGTCGAGGCACGGTGGTGTTCGGGCCGAGGGCCGACCCGTCGGTGGACGTCAGGGAGACTGTGTCCTCGGCGAGCTCGCCACCGGTGGCGGTTCGGGTGAAAGGGTTGTCGGGGGTTACGCCGCACGTGTCGTTATTGCATCCGGGCCGTGGCCCATTGAAGCAGTCGCCGCACGAGGTGTACCGGGCGAGGGAGCATTGGGCCGATCGGCAGCGAACGGGCCGATAAGAAGAGGAGACGTAGTTAGTGTCGCAATCGGTCCAGAGGAAGCCGCCTCCGAGGTGGACGGCGAGGTTCACTGGGACGAGCGGCGTGCGTTGGTGGATTGTGGTGAGGTATTGGAGGGTAGCGGCATCTTTTCGCATTGGGAGGACCAGAGCATTTGGTCTAAACGAGGGTTGAGCGCGGGAAATGGAGACGAACAGGAGCAAAGATGAGATGAATATTTCAAGTGAGGATGACATGTTTGGTAAATTAATGTGGGTAGTTAATACTAAGGCTAATTGGTGTGGAAAAATGAAATTGTTGATTGGTGTGTATTTATAAGGTATGTCAAATGTTGGCTGGCTATGGTGATATTAGGATAAGGCTTAATTACGTTATGTCAAATGTCAATTTTGGACAACTCAACCAATCTAGGTGTCGGTGTCGATGTTGGACTATTGACCAAAAATGTATGTGTTGTACTTGTTTATTTGTGCATAAAAGTCTCAATGTTGATTAGAGATGCAATTTTTGTCACGCAACTAGTTAGTTAATATCAGTTTAAAATGTCATAAAGCATTTGTTTGCACGTATAATTATTGGAATATTTTCTATATCTTTCTTTTCTTTGTAAGAAATTAATTGGATAGCAATTGTGACATGACATGATGAAAATATTTATTGTACAGGGATTTTGTGATTCATCATTAAATTACTAGCAAGAAAATTACATAACATATAGTTGAGTTTAGTTCTTATTCAACATTAATTTCAGAATGAGGATAAGAGTATCAGACTAAAGTATTTTATGTAGGCCATCTAAAATTGCGCGCAGACAGCTAGCTGCTTCACGAACAATCTGATTTGCTCATTTGATAATGTTATTATTATTACTGGTCAAAAGGGTATCGTACACGGTTTTAGGTCAAACTATACTACTACTTCAATAATTTGAGCTTAAGATTTGGTGAAACAATATTAATTTGACCAATTCAAAGATATGAAGGAAGAAAAATAACTAATTTTATAAAGTGAACTGATAAGTAATAGCATATATAGTATTTAGCATTTTATAGAATACATAAGTTGTTATTAGTATTTTAGCATTCCTAGTCCTAAGTGACAATAGCAACTTTAGTCATAGTGGTACAGTATAAAAGGGAACTACCAAACCCTAATCTGTAACGATTCATTTTCCTATCTTTTCTTTTTGTTCATCTTCTCCGCTGCTCTTTCTCTCTTTCTCTCAATGTGTATAGATCCATACAAAACAAATACACCTCAAACAAATTTACCAATGTTTCCAAACCCTACTGATTTTACCTTTGACAATATTACCTCTCAGTCACAGTACTCTCAGTCCCAATCCCAGCCAAATGTCAATCCTCAACTGCCTGTTGTTCCTACTGCCATTACCAGTCCTCAACTGCCTGTTGTCTCCAATTCCATTAACCCCCCATCACCTATACCTACCTCACCCCAACAACAAACCAATTCTACATCACCACAGAGAAGAAGATCCTCCAGAACATCCAGAATCCCAGCCTATCTTAACATCTACAAACATTCTCTTAACCCTACATCTCATTCTTCAAACTCTGTAAATACTTTTTCATATGACACTGGAACATCAAAATATCCTATTTCAGATTATTTGTCTACATCTCAATTATCAGATTCTCACAGTTGCTTTACTGCTTCTATTACTTCTATACCTGAACCTAAGACATATAAGCAAGCTGCCAAAGATCCTCTTTGGCAAGAAGCTATGCTTAAAGAGATAACTGCACTAGAAAAGACTAATACTTGGCAACTCATTGAACTTCCAAAAGATAAAAATTGTATAGGGTGTAAGTGGGTTTACAAAGTCAAGTATAAGTCTGATGGCACTATAGAAAGATATAAGGCCAGACTAGTTGCTAAAGGTTATACTCAAGAGGAAGGCATAGACTATTTTGACACTTTTTCTCCTGTGGCTAAAATAACAACTGTGAGATTCCTTGTTGCATTAGCTGCTTTAAAACAGTGGCACATTCATCAACTAGATGTAAATAATGCATTTTTACATGGTGAACTTCATGAAGATGTTTATATGCAGCCACCCCCTGGTTATATTTTACCTAAAGAAAATTTAGTTTGCAAACTCACCAAAAGTCTTTATGGCCTTAAACAAGCCTCTAGACAATGGTTTCAAAAATTAACAAATTGTCTTTTGCTTTATGGCTTCACACAATCAGTGGCTGACTGCTCATTGTTCTTCATGCATAAATCTGATTTCACAATCATTCTTCTTGTATATGTGGATGATATAATTGTTACTGGGAACAACCTTGATCAAATCAATTCTATTAAATCACATTTAGATGCATGTTTTACAATCAAGGATCTAGGCCAACTTAAATACATTCTTGGCTTAGAATTTGCTCATTCAACTCAGGGCATTCACATGTGTCAGAGAAAATATGCTCTAGATATTCTCACTGACACTGGTATGCTTGCCTGTAAACCTGCATCCACTCCCATGGCCTCTACTTTAAAACTCAGCAATCAACATACTGATCATGCATATCTATCTGATCCATCTGAGTATAGAAGATTGGTAGGTAAATTACTTTATCTCACAATCTCTAGACCTGACATTGCATACCCTGTTCAAACATTAAGTCAATTTCTGTCCCAACCAACAAACCAGCACATGTGTTCAGCTTACAGGATACTAAGGTATGTTAAAGGCACTATTGGCAAAGGTATACTCTTTCACAAACAGTCTCCTTTAAAATTTACTGCTTACTCTGATAGTGACTGGGCATCTTGTGTTGACACTAGAAGAAGTGTCACTGGTTACCTTATATTTCTTGGAAATTCCTTAATTTCATGGAAATCTAAAAAGCAACCTACTATAAGCAAATCCTCTGCTGAAGCAGAATACAGAGCACTTGCTTATACTAGTTGTGAAATTCAGTGGTTATCATCTTTATGCAAAGAATTAGATATACACTTACCTGCCCCTGTTTCACTGTTTACAGATAGCAAATCTGCCTTAGCTATGGCCTCTAACCCTGTTTTCCATGAAAGAACAAAGCACATAGAGCTGGACTGTCACTTGATAAGGGAAAAGGTGGCCAATGGTCTACTTCAATTGCACCATATCCCCTCCAAGGACCAGCTGGCAGATTTTCTCACAAAACCACTTCCAGCACCAAATTTTCAACACCTTACCTCCAAGATTAGCATGCCCAACATCCATGCTACTCTTGCGGGGGGGTAATAGCATATATAGTATTTAGCATTTTATAGAATACATAAGTTGTTATTAGTATTTTAGCATTCCTAGTCCTAAGTGACAATAGCAACTTTAGTCATAGTGGTACAGTATAAAAGGGAACTACCAAACCCTAATCTGTAACGATTCATTTTCCTATCTTTTCTTTTTGTTCATCTTCTCCGCTGCTCTTTCTCTCTTTCTCTCAATGTGTATAGATCCATATTGTAACAATAAGAGAGAACTTTACTCTATGCTATTGTACCTTTAGCACCCCTCAATAATAAAGGTTAATTGAATGATCTGCTTGAATTGAAAGTAAATAATATAGCATTAAAAGGAAATTATAGTAAGGCTTTGTGAGGTATGCACATTTCATAGGCTTCAATTACTAAATATTGATAATTTTTTATCTTATAAACCCTAGAGGCATTATTCCAACAGATCCGAGTCGAGCCAAACACTTCGTGTTTCATCTCGTGCTCGTTTAATAAATGAGTTGGCTCATCTCGAATCATTTAACAAATACAAATTCGTAAACGATATGGTTGCTTACACCGAACACGATTTGTATGCTCACGAATATACTCGGCTCGACTACTTGTTTGAAGCCTATGGAAAAATCTAGATGAGGGTAATAATAGAAAAATATATACAAAACATTCAAAACATCATTTATTTAGTTAATTGTTGATAAAACCAAAATGACATTAAAAAAAAAATAGGAGATAGTATTGATTATTGTCAAACAGCCCACTCACTATATCAATTAATATTTATAACTGTAATTATCAAATTCATTCACATTCCCCTCACAAAACCATAGCCCCTGTAGAGTGTTTCTTATTAGAGATTATACTTTGTTGATTCCAATGGAAACTCATGCATGTGATGTGATGGATTCAATTACATTGCCAAAAGATAAAATACACATGTTTTTCTTACCTCAACAATTTACTAGGTATTAATATAATGTTATTACAAGTAACACAAATATATGAAAATATAGGAAATTTGATCGATTTTATTCTTCATCATCTAGGCCGACCTCAAGCCGCATTCGAATGTAACTTCGCACTCGTAATCGACCACGACAGTGTAATTGTGTGCAAGTTTCGAGAGAAATATAGGCAAATGCGTTAGCACATTACACACGCATAAATTGTCCACTTCTTTTAGCCACCGGCAACATTCTTCCTCCACCGGAGTCACCGTACTGTTGCCATGTCTCCGGTGGTGGCGGTGGGCGGCATGGTGGTGGTGGTGGCCCGACGGTGATGGTGGCCTCACGGACCTGTAAGGTACCGGTGCACACGCATGGTTTGCCTGTATTGATAAATGCCAAATATATCAAGTCATTAATCAAAAGAGACAAAATTGCACTTTTAGCCATGGTGGTTTAACGTAATAACAATTTTAGTTTCAAAGTTTCTACATTTTGCTTTTTAATCCTGTGATTAAATATTTTGTTGCAATTTCAGTCATTTGAGGATTGAAATTGCAACAAATTCTCAAATTCCTTGCAAAATATTAAATTACAAGACCAACAGATGAAATCTTGGGACTAAAATTGTTATGACATTAAATCAACATGACGAAATAAAAATAAATCTCCATTGCTCAAGTTAGTTACCAACGTAAATTGATTGTTACATAGTGGAGTAGACGGATCTTGAAGCGGATTGGGCCGGTAAACGGATGGGACTTGTGGGCGACGTGGCATCCAAAGGCAGTTGGTCGACTTTGGATGCAATAACATTAGGATAATAGTGAAGATTAGCAACTTTTGGGCATTGGGTTTGTTCATGTTTAAGAATATAATTCTTCTTGTAAGAACAAAATGAGTACGTAATGTAAGAGAAGGTGTAGGTATGAATTGTAAATTCTTGTTATATGTTTATATATATATGTTTATGCTTGGTGATTTCTTGACAAGCTCGTCATGTTTCTTTGATGAAAGAAAAAATATATTTTGAGAGGGGCAAGAAAATGAGTGATTTGATTATTTGGTTTGTTAGGATCAGGATAGTTAGGAATATTGCATCATTCTCTTTGTGTGAAATATTGTTGTTTGTTTGAAATGTATTTATCTTTGTTAATTTGGTGAATGTATTCAGGCCAGATAGAGCCTTTTTGGTTGGAGCTATATTAATTAATATTAATGATTGGTTGGAAATTGTGAATTCGTTCGTATACAACTCAAATTCTATGCGCAACTTAATATATATAAAGTGAAAATATTCATGAAAAATTAGTATATTCAAAAATTATTTTGTAACTTTGAACACAAGAATCATCGACCAATTAGATCCACTCTTATATCTAATTGTAAGGTTTTTTGGGCTTTGGCAATGCAAACTAATGGCTCCATAAAGCCCTCAAGTAAAAAATGAATCCAAGAGAGATTCTGGATAAATTAGGCCCAAAAAAAGAAAAACAAAGAAAAAAAAAAGACGTTCAATGATTTTATCATGCAAATGATAGGTTATTTATATAGTTAAGACATCCTTTTACGTGGTGCTATTCTCACTTCTGAATGTAGAAGGATATATAGCAGAAAAGATAGAGAATCAAGTCAAATTGTTATTTTTTGTCTATAATTTATCATTCTCCATACAATTTCTTTGATTTGAATTTACGCAGAAATTTATGTGAGCTATTATGTACTATTAGCCGTATTCTTTCAATAAATATGTTATATACTGTTAAATTTAAATATCTAAAAATAACATATATATTTTTTTTTTTTCTCAAACACTAGACATACGTTTTCAACAAATGTGTAAATATTAGTAAACTTAAAAAAGAACAACACAAATGCACATTTTGAAATGAAATGTATTTTTATTTAGTATACTGGGTGGAGCTAAGTTCAAATTGGGACCATTGTTTTTTCATTATTTAAATTCACACAAATAGAGGTCCGACAAGCCGACTCATTTCTGTATCTTTTGCTATTATTATTTTTTTAATTTTATTTTCCGCCCTTTTTGCACCTTTGTTTTTTATTTAGGTTCATATTATGATTACAAACAGTAGTTTATCAAGCGTTTTCCTGTTGGCACTTGCTTGTTTTCTGCTGCATTACCTTTGTTGAGTGTTGTATTAACTCTGCTTTTCTTCACCACTGTAAATTCTTCTAGGGCCACCCCACACCCCAAAAAAAGCTACAGAAAAGAAAAGGAAAAAAAAAAAAGATTAGAGAGGGAAAAAAATGGGTGAGCTTGAGCCAAAGGTTGATGCTTTTTTGCGAAAGTTGGAATGTATGATGTAATGATTCCATTTCTTTTCAATGGTGAAGATTTTTCCAAATGATTTTTTTATCTGATTCTACTGTTTATCAATCAATATCCACATTTTTGTTTAGTTAATTTTTTCTTCTAAATATAAAAAATAAAGGTTTTTACAGTTCGAAAAATTTGGTGCTTGAAGATTCCTTCAAGAAGCTGCTAAAACTTTTGGTGCCTTCGTATTATTAGAATAATTTGTGTTAGGAAATGCAGTTTTCTTTCAGCTTTCTGCGTTATCCTCTAGTTCTCTATCTCTTCTTGCGTTTTAAATTTTAACCCTTTAATGAAATTTTGCCTTCTCCCTTTTGCACATATGCCATAGACTAGGGTTCATAATTTTAAGGGGTTCTGTGTTTGGTCTGTTAGAAGTGCTAGATTCCACTTTCTTCTTTAACATATAACCATTTTATTTTAATTTTTTTTGGATAAATGGAGAAGAGTAACCAGATTTTGAGTATGTCACTCTTGTTTATTTTCCGGGTTAAATTGTTATCTGCCCAATGCTTAGATATGAGGAGCAGAGATATCTCAAGGGAGCCCTCGTCGTCCCCACATTCGAAAAATCGAATCTTTTTCAGCATATTTTTGGGAGTTTTAACAGGATTGATTTGTGCCCTCTTGTTTGCTTTGCTCTTGAGGTACTTTGTTAGACACATTAATCGAAACCCAGTTCTCAAAGTGGGCCCCGTCGTTTTTTCTCCAAGAATTTCTCGAAGGACGCTGAATTTAGCCCTCTGTAACGACCCCCAATTGCTTGGCTCGAGTCCGAACGGAAAGTATTATAAGGCCGTGCTCGATAATGGCCTCAATGTTGCTGTCAAGAGACTCGGCCCGTTTTCCTGCGCATCTTCTGAAGCCCATAGCAAGAGAAAGATATTGCAGGAGCTCCGTAAACTGGCATGCCTGAGGCATAGGAATTTAATGAGTTTGAGGGCTTATGTGTTTGAATCGGGTGTTTACTCTTTAGTTTACGATTATGTGCCCATGGCAAGTCTTGAGGATGTGATGAAAAAAGTGAGGGAAAATCAGTTGGAGCTTAAGTGGGAATTTCGGCTTAGGATAGCGGTTGGGATTAATAAAGGGTTGAATTATCTGCACTTTTGTTGTGATCCGAGAAGATTACACTATAACTTGAAGCCCTCGAATGTGATTTTGGACTCTGAGTTCGAGCCGAGGTTGGCTGACTGTGGATTAGCTGCGATTTTTCCAGGCTTTGTTCGAGCATCATCGGGCTTCAATCCACCGGAATGTTTTCAGAACTCCAGGTATGATGATGAATCATAAGTAGCTTATTATTAGTGTGTAGTTTTAAATTTTTAATTGAATGTATCAAGAAATGTAAATGGTCTATATAGTATTTTGTTAGCTACTTTCACTTCTGCATATATTTTCATGGTATAGATTAGTAGCTGCTACCAAAATAGATTTTCATGCTTTGGTAGTTCTTGAAGACAATTATTGAGTTATACTAATGCGAAAACTTTCAAATCGGAAACTAAGCTTCATGGAGAAAGCCAAATAAACGTAAAGGATCACTTTTGTCGATTTTTGGAACTGTTGAATACTCATTATTTACGTAATTGTGGGGATTATTCGTTAGGTACACTGATAAAAGTGACATCTATAGCTTTGGGATGATATTGGGTGTTCTATTAACCGGAAGGGACCCGAACGACACATCCTTTGGTAGCATGGGAGAATGGCTTAGGCAGCAGATTCAGCAAGATGGTGAAGCTCGAGAAGCACTAGACAAGAGAATCCTTGTTGGGCAACAAGTCGAACAAGATGAGATGCTTATGGCTTTAAGAATTGCTGTTGTTTGCCTATCGGATTTACCTGCTGATCGACCCTCTAGCGACGAGCTCCTTTCGATGCTCACTCAATTAAATAGTTTCTGAAATGTGTGTCTGTGTGTGTTTTTTACTTTTCTTTTTTTCTTTTTTTTTTTCTTTTTTTTTTCTTTTATGGCGACTTTTGCTTGTATTAATTTCTTAACCTTGTAGTTTTGCTCGACCGGCCGGCCAGTGCTGCCAAAAGGTGGTTTTGAAATATCCAAGCAAATGTCTTTTAGGTTTTTAGCTTTAGCATGCATGATGTGGATATGAAGGGCTTTGTATTTCTTAGATTTTTTGTGGAGAGCTCTTTTGAGATCATGTTTGGTTTGATATAATTACTATATTAGAGCCTCTGTTGGCTGTTAAAAGTTGTTATTGCATTTGACCTGCACTCTCTTTTCTTTATGTGGTATAGTCAATGCAACTCAAAACGACAAGGAGTTGAAAATATTATCAACACATCAAACTAGTCTACTCAAAGACCATAACAAACTCAAACTAAGCTCTGAAATTTATCCATCAAAACATCAAATTAATGGCATTATCATCTGCAGTAGCTACAGAAAGAAAGAGACCACTGGCAAACCATCTGAAAGACAAAGTATTTCGTGTTGCAATGTAAAGAATGCAAATAGATCTCAAGATCCCCAATGAAAAAATCCCTATACAGTATAAACGCGTGTCTTCATAGTATGGGTAAGTAAATATATATAATCAATAAGCCCTCATCGAAAGATCGATAATCGTAATATAAACAAACATCATTTCGCATGAGAATACAAAATTCCATTTACATCTCAAACCTGTCTCCCTTGGCAACATCAGGGAAAATACACACACTTAGCTAGTGCACTCCTATCGAATATACTTGATAACAAAATAAGCCACAAATAACAAAACAATATCTCGCACAAAACATCCAATCAAGCGACAGCAAAGACGATTTAGTGGGGAGTTTAGATTTAACATTCAGCTCCTTCAACAAGATCCTCAAGTTCCAGATGTTGAAGTGCAATGGAGTACTTAGCGAATTTTTTTTTGGAATTTGCAGTATCTGGATAGAGCTCCTGAAGGATAAATGATCCAGAACCATCACCTTCGACTACACCAAAAAAAAAAAAAAAAAAAAAANGAAAAAAAAAAAAAAAAAAAAATCCATAAATTCAGTTAACTTCAAATACTAATTGAGACTAACTAGAGGAAGGTGGTACCTTTGACAGTGTAAATGCAGTTAACCCACTTCTTGTAGATATAGAGCAGCCTCGGGATTTCGCCCTTGTGAGTGTCTGACAACACAACTTCGCAACGACCCCTTTTACTGCAAGTGTGTAAATAATTTACAGGCACCTATAGTTATCCAGATTTGAATCAAAATACTATTGGTGAGAATGCAAACGAACTAGATAGCGATTTACATGTGAAGAAACAATTTGCTCACTTGGCATGATCAATTGCATTCCGGCAAAGCGACAAGACTCGCACCATGGCCATTTCTCTTCCTCTTGGATTCTTGTATCTTTCTTGGCATTTTCTTCAAATAAATACAAAATTTTAAAGGATCCACAGTTGATGGTGAAACTAAAACTTGCAGAAATCAACACAAAAACCAACAACTTAAACAATTTATACCTTTCATCGAAAAAATCAGCAAAATCATCGATAACAACTGAAACGGGGAATGTATCCAGCAAGTGGAATGCAGCAAAAAATTTCTTGATCCCTTCATAATCATCCACATACCTTCGAATAACAGTAAAACGGGGAAAAGAAGATGTTACTGCTACTCAACCAAAACACAAGACACAGAACAAATCAAAAGAGAGAGATTGAGGGCTAATTTTACTACTTCATTTGAACCCGTCCAAATATCTCCGAAGATGGATCAACACCCTGAGGGTTAAAAAAAATTATAAATTACCCAAGAAATAAAGAAGCATTATCCATCCAACAGATTAGAAGTTGGGGTGAGATGAAATTGAAGGTACCTGCGAGAGGAAAGGAGGATTTTGTTCCAGCCGGCGCCTGCTGCACAGGAAAACCACCGCGCTGACGTTTCCCGCCGTCGAGTTGAGCGCAAATTGGAAAAGCAGCGAGGTCTTACCACTGCACAATATGTGAATAATCGCTTCAAATTGATGTATATAAGAACAGATGAGGAGAAAGAGAGAGGGGGAAACGCTTCGCCGGAGATAATTACGATGAAAGCGGGCCGGAGAGAAGGGATATCTTGCTGGATTCAACCGGAATCTGGGAAGCTTTAATGCGCGTGTGGAAAAATCTTTCCACCATTTTTTCCCAAACTGTAGAAACCGGTCGAATTGGTTGATCTAATTGGGTCAATGCCCGAGTTAGGATGGATTTAGACCGGTCCGTGTTATGCCGGCGGTTTGGATTGCAAAACACTGCTATAAATTACTTACTAATATTTTAATACACACATATAATTCATACATTAAATCTTTAATCATATTTTTTATCTCAATATTAGATGTATGTAAATAAATGTATGGAATTTGGTAGTTCTGTTGATGCTCGAAATTTCATCAACATAGGGGGTTCAGAGGCATTTATTGTGTATTTTTTGTATTTGATTTTCGCTATATTTTCCCTTCCTCCCTTTGTTGAAGAAACCAGATAATAAGATTCAGAAGAAGAAAGGAAATAGAGGCGGTCCCTCTGTAACAGAAAAGAGCCAAAATAATAATAGTGTCCCCTCAGACTTATCTCGATGATGTCCATCATCGGGGTATTTATATATATGTTTAATGGGCCCGATATTATCACAAGCGGTATTATTTAAGGCCCAAAAATAAAATAATTTATTTAATATATATATCCACGTGTAATTTTTTAATAGGCTAGGCCAAAATTTGGTATCAACAAGTTCTTTTTGTAGTCGATATAAAATTAGTTTTTTTTTTTTTTCATGAACGATAGGAATACTCATAAATAAGGAAAAGAGACAGTGTTCAAATACATTGGTACAAGCCCAAAAGCCGAAGGCAAAGCCAGAGAGCACTACTAACATAGTAGGCTAAATACAACAAACAAAGCAATCTAACCTAAATTACACCAAAGGCAGCTGAAATCTTATCCCTTCAGAAGTAAAGATATAAGCCAATAAGAAAGAACAATAAGACAAACAAGAATCTAACCACTGAACTACAAGTAGACCTAGAAAGAAACCTTGTGTTGCCCCAGCTTCATGTCCATCTAGTTTGAGCTTCCTGCCATTATCTGAGTGCCCCTTTGATGATGCTTCTCTCTGGTCTCCATTGTTTTTCAAACACCCAGAGGTTCCTTGATTTCCATAGCCACCAGAGAATGTACGTGGTAAGCTCAATCCTAGCCTCAGCTACTCTGGTGTCCCCTTTAGAGCAGATGCTTCCCCACCAATCACTGAACTTGCAATTTGCACTGTTGATCCCATCCCAACTAACAGGGCTAACCTTCCATACCTGCTGGGATCTTGGGCAAGTGATAGAAAGGTGTTCCACCGTTTCTATTGTCTCACCACAACAGGCACGCATGAAATCTATCTCAACCCCCTTCTTCCTCAGATTAACAGCAACAGACAAAGTATTAGAGTAACAGCTCCACAGGAAGTGCTTTAGTTTACCTTTGACTTTTATGTTCCAACTCCTGTGTCTGATATATTGGTTCCTCTTTGTTGTTCCACTTCCTTCAGGGAGGTGAAGGGCAAGCAGCTTCTTTTTGTGTAGGTACGCATAAGATGATGACACAGAAAATCTCCCCTGAGTCCCCAGTTGCCATCTCCATTTGTCCTGTTGGTCAAGGTTCATTGTTTGGATTTTGAGAATTTCTGAGCCATCATCTTCTTCAAAAATCTCTCTGATTTTCTCCTCATTCCACCTGCCTTCAGCATTGAATAGCTCCTTCACCCATAGCTTCCCATTGTTTGTGTCTGCCTTGAACTTGAGGGTTTTGCCTCTGATTCCTGGAACCCAGTGAAAATCATGAAGTCTGACTGAATCTCCATTCTTGATATCCACAGCAAGGCTGTAACGCCCCGTTTTATTTTAAAGAGTTTACTGAATTAATCAATGAAAATCAGAGTTTTTTTTTTAAAAAAATCCAAGTTAAAAACCTTTAACGAGAAACGGGCGCTACTTACTAAGAACAACAACAAATAACACACATCCATTAACTCAAGGAAACTACACATGCACGAGCTGACAATAAAACAAATCCCAATAATGCATAAAAGTTTCAAAACCATTTCTAAAGGTCTAGCACTAGTCAAAGTTCAACCAACATAAACATAGTTCGAAAAGTGAAAGCAGTAAATGATCCAAAGCAAATAAATAAATATCAAGTTTACGGAAGCATAGGTTTTCAAACACATATGACCACCATCTCGCTCGTCCTACGCCACCGCCTCCAGCTCGTCTCAACCTAGAACAAGGAAGAGAAAAGACAACAAGAAAAATAATGGGGGTGAGCAACCAACTAGCTCACCATTATCGCACAGTTATCCAGCATAATTATTTTAAAAGCAGTAACACAATATTCAGTATGCATAGAATCCAACAGTCTAAACTCCCTACCCGGCCCTATCGCAAACCTCCTATGTACATACAACAACCTTCCGACCAAACATCGGCAAGGCCGTAACTGGAAAATTTCCCCCACCCCGAAACTCACACGGATCATGGGAGTCCACCCCGAACTACTCACGGATCATGGATGTTTTCCAGGAGACAGTGGAGATGTTTTTCCCCCCCGAAACTCACACGGATCAGGGCGTCGCCTCCCGGATACAACGGGCAGGTGACCTCACACTGTTATGCATTCGTCAAAGGCACTACCAATAGGAATACTTAGACTAGGGTTCTCACGCATACATTCATTTTTCAAAAGAAGAATTATACGAAATAAATAGTGCGATAAATATGGAATACAACAAAAGTGTACCCACCTGATAGCAGCAACAGCTCACAGAATCACAAATCCAGAAACGAGGCGAGGTCAACACCTCTAGACACCTACATTACGACAAGATCCTACAATCAGAATCTATCTCGTCTTAAATCAGAAATCACAAGACAGACCTAGTCGAACTCGTTTCGACTAAGTAGTTCGTGAAGTTCTGTGGATGTTGGAACACTAAGACTCGGCACTAAACTCGACCAAAACACGCAAGGGAGTTCACACTAATCCATCTAAGGATTGACCAAGTCAAACTTAAATCAAGTCGAGTCCCAAATTTTCATATAACAATTATGTTCGAAAATAGAAATCATTTAATCGCATAAAATTAGAAAGTCAAGCTACCCTACGAATTAAGCTCTGAAAATTTATGCAAAATTTTAACTCCCAGAAACATGTAAAATCACAAAGTTTCAGCTTTAAACTCAAAATAACCCATTTTATAAAATTCGAACAGTAATTCAGCAAAAAGGGCACCTTAATTCATACTCAGACTTAATGAATACAAATGAACCTGAAAATTTTACACAGCAACATACAGTATGCCAAAGTCCACTTATAAAAATTTCAGCCTTAAATGATAACTGCTGCTATTTTTAAAAATTCAAACGAGCAACAGCAGTTTATCGAATTTAAATCCAAACTGAAACCAAACGGACTCTAAAAATTCCCATATTTTACAAACATGATCAAACACCTAAAATATGACTCTCAGTAAAATTTCAGAATTTTCCATGCAGTAACCGATTTTTAAAAATTCAAACAACACTTCTGCAAAATCAATAAATAAAATATTATCCATATCAAATCAACTCCAAAAATTCTGAAAATTTAACACAACACATATAAGACACAGATGCATGACATATTCAACTTTCAGCTCATTTTACTCAGGAATGCATTTATTATGCATTTAACAATATTCTGGACAGAACACAATTTAATTATTTAAAATAGCTACAGGTCTCCAAAAATTATGAAAATTTTACACAAGGCAGGAAATGAACAGATAACACATCCCTCAAAATTTCACATCTTTTCGAGCAGCGAGCTATTTTTAAAAATTCGAACATCAAAACAGCGATTAACAAGCTCGACAACTTGACAAGTAAATCACAACACACAATTTATTGTCCGAGGCCTTTTCATAAGACCAAGGACTCGACATTGTTCCATTATCCACCAACTTACACGACTTTCGAGGTCTCGTTCGATTTTTGAGAAAATCGAAGAGATCCCGAACATACGATAACACATAAAATCATAATAACACATAATCGCACATATTCACATCAAGCGATTCACACATATATTACATTGTTCAACGAGCACTTCACGACAATAGTGTTTATATAACATCACAACAAATTCATAAACAATTAACATCATTGAGCACATAAATCTGCAGAGCACGATTATCGCATTAAAGGAACACGAAATTTAAATCAACGAAGGGCCAAGGCTCGATACCGTTCTCGGAAAGCGTGAGAATGGTTCGAACGGATTTACGGGTCGACGGGCTCGACGGCTATGCGCGTCTCGCCGGGGAAGGAGCAGCGGCTGAACGGGGCCTTCGCGAGGGGCTGCGAGCCTGAGGATGACGGCTCGCGGAGGTGCAGCGAAGAGAAGTTCGCCGAGGCTGCTGTTCGTGAATGGGATTCGCCGGAAATGACCTCGACGGTGCTTGCAGGAGCGGTGGAGCAGCTTCGTGGGTGGGGGTCGTCGAGGGGTTGTTGTTCGCGAGCAGAGGAACTCGCTGGTTCGCGGAGGAGATGGCGGGGATCGTCCGTGGGTCATTTTTCTCGTTCGCGTGAGCAGCAGCACACCGTGGTCGCTCGCGGTGGAGGGTCGCCGGAAAGGATGCTGGGACGGCGGAGGGCTCGGAGTTGCAGACGGGGGAAACTCGCGGAGGGAAGGGAGGTTATGGCAGCTCGCGGTGGTTCTGATCGCCGATGGCAGGGACTCGCCGGGAATAGCTCATGGACGGCCTGTGCGCGCAGAAGAAGGGGAAGACGAGGGCGAGGGTCGATGAGATTTTTCTCCTTCTGCCGAAACGCAAGCGAGGGAGGGAGATTGGAGAGATTGCTGCGCGTTTTCGATCGAGAGAGAGAGAAAGAGATACATAGACTAGGTTAAAGACTTTCCTGGTTTACAAGAAATAAATATCACGCTCACAATGAGAGAACCGGGTTTGGGCCATTGAGCCGGTTTTTGGCTCGCGGGCCGGTCGGTTGGGCTGGTTTGCGACAATAAATCGGCTCACGGGCTCGGTTTCGGTTCAAACGCATATTCTCGGGCCCGATAAAATCGCACGAAATATATTCGGCTCAGGCCCGATTCAATCACACGAAAATAAATCCAGCCTCGGGCTCGGGTTCTCCGATTACTAATTTCGACAGTTTCAATCGATCGCACGATAAATAAACAAAACTCCGGACAATATACATTAA